CGCTTCTCCTGTCAGACATATAAAGATTCTTGATAAAATCCAAGAGTCTCCAATGTTATTGGTCCAGACCTGACATCTCGCCTTCAGTCACTTTCCCACTGCAGCAATGTAGCTTCAATGGCGTTTATGGTAATTGTTCTGACGCACATTGCTCTGATTTTATAAATTTAAGCGTAGTACTCGATTGGCGGCAAGGTCTCATCATTTTACAATTGGAATGCCTAGATATAACTGTAAGTTCTATGCTAGCAGGTGCTTCTATCGCACTAGGTGCTTTCGGAAATCTCTTCCGGCTTCTTATTTCCGGGTCAACTTAGATCATCAAAAATTTAAATATAATGTTAATCGTTATTTTCTGCACCCTTGTTATTATATTATTATCACTCCTTAATAGTATTTTCTCCCATACTTTATAACACGCAGCAATACATTGCATCTTAGTGGCTTTATTGCCTTGTTTGGGGGTGAAATGATTAAAAAAAAAGATGAAATATTGTCATTCATAGTTTTTTTTTATATTCTGCAATCGTTCAGCAACTAAAAAAAAAAAAACAGAATTAAAGGCATTACCTCTGATAAGATTTGAACTCACATCTTTGGAAGCCCTAAGATTGATTCACTGATCTAACTACAATCAGTAAGTGAAGTGCTATACATGATACACGATTGGCCGATCATATAGCTTTCGAGACATGACTGACGAGGCAGATCTTTTCCCCGCAGTAGATTGCCATATCTTTTTCCAGTGGACTGGTTGCCAACCAAGGCTAAAGAACCCAGTGTGTCCTGCTATTCAACCCATAGCTGGAGGGTGAAGAGACGGATTCATATCTTTCCCATGGTTACTTGTGTGTAAGTGAATCTAACAAACTTGACTAGAATTCGAACTCGGCTCTCTCCAAGTTCTCAATCCGAGCTGATATCCATTACACCACACTAGAAAAACTGACAGAACCTAACAAGCAAAAACCTCCGATGATATAACTCTGGTATCTAGACTTTATGAATTAATGTTTTTATTTCTTATACTCGCTAACATTCAGTAACACATTGCGTCTTAGAGACTTTATTGCCTTGCTTGGCGTGAATTGATTGAAAAAAATATAAAAATCATTTTTGTAGCTTCAACACACCTCAGACTGAGGTTTTCCCAAAGTTTAAGAAAAGGTTAGAAATTTAGTCTGTCCGCTGTTGATATACCAAGAATTTGAGGGCAGAGGACAGGCAAGTTAACTTATGTTCTAACTAGCTCAGGAATAAGCATACAGACTGTTACGGATTGCGTAAATGAATCGAGATTCTAGTAATGGTGAAGCATTATTCAAAGTGTGACTACAAAGGCACTGAAGCCGCTCGCAGGTCTCAATAAATGAAACAATCTCTGACCGCTCTGGTCTATTCATTTTTAGGGTATCGTTTCTCTTCAATCCCAGAATTGCGCAACCATCAGGGACAAGATGGTATAGTAAGCGGACAAACATAGCTTAAAAGTTCAAAGGATAGGAAAATGTGTAGAGCTGTTATATCTAATGTCTTGAAAGGACATGGCACATGGCAGAAGAAAGGGAAGGCAGCAAGAAACTACTCCTATATCTTTCCCAAGACGTCTTGACATTTCCCAGATAATAAAGAAAGTCATGATCCGCTATTATACTATAATTAGTATAAATTAATTAGTATCTACTCTGTATTTATAGTGTAACAGTTAACGACTCGGAAAATAGAATTTTGCAATCCGTGTTCGAATTCCGGTCGAGGTCGGTATATTCATTTTCGCACCAATATTCTGTATAGATCCATCTCGTTTAATTGAATTGATTAAATAGATAAGTAGACTGAACTAGAGATGGTGACTTGAGCTAGTAGCTTGACTCAAATACCTGGCTACTGCAATAGTGAACCAAAAAAACTTGGAGAGTTGAGTTAAATGGAGATAACTCAGATATCCGGAGTGGCATGGCACGTGGAACCAGAACAATCTACCCCGGAAATAAACGGGTCAGTTCAAAGTTCCAATCATCTGAAGAGGATCGGAGCGTACAACGGCCGAAACGTCGTGAATATGGCAACAAAGATGAGGACAACAGTCCGAACAATGTAAATAGTGTAGACAATTTCACTATCGCATCTCAAAAATATAGACAAATACTGAAGAAGGCCGGAGCGTACATCCAACGAAACATATTGAATATGACAATAAAAATGAGGACAACAGTTCGAACAATGTAAATGGTGTAAATAGCTACAATACCTCATCTCGGAAATATAGACAGATCCTGAAGAGGGCCGAAGCGTATAACGGCCGAAACGTCGTGAATATGACAATAAAGATGAGGACAACAATGTTTATAGTGTAAATAATTAGAATAATTCGTCTCAGAAATATAGACAAAGCCTGATTAGTTTATTTTTATCGTATAAAGAAAAAAAAAAGTCCCATTCGCTGCCACCACGAAATTATTAAGAAACACTGCATGAAATATTTAACCCTTCTTATTTTCAATGTCGATGATTCGTTATTTGATTAAATTTGACCAATTTTGGCAGATGAGTAGAGAAGTTTCTTTTCTTTCCTTTTCTTTTCTTTTCTTTTTTTTCGTTTTTGATCCAAGAGTTTTTAAAAATAACAATGTCTAGAAAGTTTAAAATATGATATAAAAAAAAAAGAAGGAAAATAAATCATCGTGGGTGGATACGTTGAACTATGGACCCTATTTGAGATGAAGGGGAGATTAAAGGAAACGATGAAAGTAAAGAAAATAAAGAAGAAGAGGAAATTGAAACAAATTATAGAAATGATAAAATAAAGAAAATACATAAAAAGAAAAATGCAAGATATGGGATAAAGAAAAGGGGGGAGGGGTGAAAAATGAAACAAGAAGAATTGAAATCAAGAAAGAGCAAGCGGAAAAATGAAAGATATTGTAGAACAACATAAGGAAAGAAAGAAAAAAGAAGATGTGAATGAGAAAGAAAGAGAGGAAAAACGGACAGAGAGAGAGAGAAAAAAAAGAATGATAGTAATAACAAGATGAATATATAAAGAGAATATACATTGAATAAAAAGAAAAGGAAGGTGAAGGAAAGTGAGAAAAAAGAACGAAAGAAAGACCTAGAAAAAAAAGAAGAAAGAAAGAAAGAAAGAAAGAAAGAAAGAAACAAAGAACCAGAAAAAAGTGACACAAGAAGGAAATGGCCAAACTGGAAAGAAGAAGAAAAAGAAGAAAAAGAAAGAAAGAATGAAAGGAAGTAAGTAAGAAAAAAGAAAGAAAAAACCAGAAAAATTTACACAAGAACGAAATGGCCAAACTGGAAAGAAGAAGAAAGAAAGAAAGAAAGAAAGAAAGAAAGAAAGAAAGAAAGAAATAGTAATGGCCATAATACAGATGATGAGGAAGAAAGATGCGATAATGGAGACAGGGGAGAGTGCGACAAAGAAGAAGAAAATAAAGAAAGAAGAAGAAGAAGAAGAAGAAGAAGAAGAAGAAAAGAATGAAAGGAAGAAACTAAGAAAAAAGAAACAAAGAACGAGAAAAATTTACACAAGAACGAAATGGCCAAACTGGAAAGAAGAAGAAATAAATAAATAAATAAATAAATAAAGAAAGAAAGAATGAAAGAAAGAATAAAAGTGTAATGGCCATAATGTTGATGATGAGGAGGAAGGATGCGATAATGGAGACGGAGGAGATTGCGCAAAGAAGAACGAAATAAACAGAGAAGAAGAAGAAGAAGAAGAAGAAGAAGAAGAAGAAGAAGAAGAAGAAGAAGAAGAAGAAGAAGAAAGAGGAGGAGACGATTATGAAGAAGGTGTGTCTGCCAGTTTTATGTCGTCGACAAAGTTGACAAAGTACGCGTGACCTGTGTTTATTTAGCGCGCGTTAAAACACGCTCAAGAAATTTTTCATATTTCTTTTCTTTTGCTTTGTGTTTTTTTTCTTCTTCTTTTCCCCGGCAACCATATTTTTACCCTTCACACTCTGTTCTATTTCGTTTCGTTATGCCGTGTCTTTCCTTTATTTTTGGTTAACCTTTTTTTTTAACTGTCTCTATTGTTTGCTTTATTTCCGTTTTTGTTTTTTACTTCTTTTCTGATATTCCGATGTACATTCGATAATTCTGTTGTTCTATTATTCTGTCTTCCTTGATTTCTCTTATTCCCAGCGGAGACATTTTTTTCTTGCATACAATTTTTTAAAACTTTTTCTTTTTACGTTTTGTCTCTCTCTTTTTTTTTTTAAATCTTGGAAATTTTGTTTCTATTCATATATAGATGATATTTTGCATTTTGTGAAATCTGCGCAAGTTTTTCTTTTAATATATTTCGATAGAATTACACATGGCTAGATTAAAATTTCAACATGGTAGATTTAACAGAATTTGCATAGAATCGTTGGTACAAATTGCCAGTATCTTCTAAATTTTTTTAATATCCCATAGGGAAGGCCTGTCAACTCTTAAAATCCAGAATTAATCTATCTATCTATCTATCTATCTATCTATCTATCTATCTATCTATCTATCTATCTATCTCAGTCTGTTCATACCTATAGATGTAAATATCTGTTAAATAATAGTTTAGTAGACTATTATATTTTAGAGAAAGCGTATCGCCGCTCCGACTTCTTGAGGTTCATCTTTCAGGTCAGATGGAAGACAAAATAAGGAAGTCGATTTTGATTGACTGAGCTAGTGTGGGAAGGATTGATAGAGAAAGATTTTCAGCGAGTTATTCCTTAACCGGTGGAGGGAGAGTGACCCCACTGGATAATTAGATGTGTACGTCGACGTTAATAAAACATTTAAGTCAAAACTGCCTGTGTTGAAGTTCTTTTATCTCTGGACTTAAAGCAATTAGGGATCACCGGATGAGAGAGAAGAATGCAGCTTTATTATGGAATTGACGCTGTCGCCCAAGACTACCTCACCAGGGGGTTGGGCTATGCAACATAGGTTCAATTTGGCACCGATGACCAAGACCTCTCTAGCATGAATGGGCTATGCAACATATCTATCTATATATCTATCTATCTCAGTCTGTTCATATATCTATCTATCTATCTATCTATCTATCTATCTATCTATCTATCTATATATATGCTCATCGATATTTCCTTCCTCTATTGGACCTGAAGTGACTTCCGCCACCCTCGCATGGTTGGGTAAGATAGTTCTAAGGCTAGAGAGCGCTGGTTTTTCTTTGAGAACACTTCGTTTCTTCTATTTGTCTTCTGGTGTTTTCGAAGAATTTTGTTTTTTTTTCGTGGACTGCTCTTCACCTATTAATTCTCTCTGTAGCTTCCGTCTCCTGATTGTGTATATATATATATATATATATATATATATATATATATATATATATATATATATATCACTCAGTTATGTGCCATCCGTGATACACACTTAGGCGATCATGCATCCTTCGATACATGACTGACAAGGCAGATTTTTCTCGCAGCTGGTTGCCATTTCTTTCTGCGGTAGACCAGTTGCCATCCAAGGTATTTAAAGCTATTTACTGTTGTCCTACTATTTAACCATAGCTCGGGGGGAAAGACGAGGATTGATACGTTTCCCAACGGTATTATAGCTGGTAAGTGAATCTAATGGATTCAACTAGAATTCAAACTCGGCTCTCCGATTTGTGGCACGGTATTTTTTTGGCCTCTTAACAGACTTGTTATATATATATATATATATATATATATATATATATATAAATAAAAGAAATGGAAACTGAAACTTGAGTTTGCCACGCGTTTCTTTCATTAAACATTTTGTGTAGCGGTTTCATTATAATCATAATGCATTACTCTACTTTGTATTGAGCACATTTTTTAAAAGCAAATGCTTCGAACAGGGGATTTTTACTCCATCTGTTCTTGCTCTCATTTGTATATATATGAATGTCCGAGAAATTTTCATGGAAAACATTTGCCCCCCGACATGAATCGAACCTGTAGCCTATACGGAACCGTCAGATAGCCTGACGTGTTTTACTGATTTCGCAACAGAGGAGCGTTCGGTTAGCAAGGTCGATTTTACTGCTTTTAAACTACAATCTTCCATGATTCTCTCACGTACATTCACATCTTCTCAAAGCGTATCCAAATGACGTCACACATTATGAAATGGATAAAGTCCGACAATTATTCTAAGACATTTTATAAAAATCTATAAAAAGAATGTTTAAACATATAATGTCTTAGAAAATTTCTCTGTGGCTCAATCAGTTAAGGCATGTCAGCCTATGTGACGGTTCCATATAGGATACAGGTTCCATATAGCATACATGTTCGATTCCTGTCGGAGGACGCATATTTTCTATGAAACTTTCTCGGACATTCAGGCCGGTAAATGCTATTAATACTGTTTATTATAAACAGAGCATTTACTTAAATATTAGTATCTATAAAAAGAATGTATAAACATATCATGTCTTAAAATAATTGTCGGACTTTGTCCGTTTCATAATATATATATATAATTATTTATTTAACAATATGATTTCAACACGCTATATAAGAGTTCTCATGTTTCAAAACAAGAGCCGAAAACTTCAATATATTTAATTGAATTAAAGTACTGAACTCTGTTCCATCTTCAAGTGAATTTTTTTTTTTTTTAATAATGAATATACCTATAAAGCGCGTATATTTCAGGAATTAGTTATTCCAAAAAAAAAAAAAAAAAGAAGAAGAAGAAAAACGCTTGAAGATGGAACAGAGCTTGGTACTTTAATTAAATTTAATTCAAATAATTATATTGAAGTTTTCGGCTCTTGTTTTGAAACATGAGAACTCTTATGTAGCGTGTTGGAATCATATTTTTAAATAATTAATTATATTTATGCTCTACTTTTGTATCGAGCACTATTTTTAAAAAATAATAACAAAAATACTAAAGAACTTTGGATTATTTACCTAACGAGTTCTTTCCTATTTTCTATATATTTTACACACACACACACACACACACACACACACACACACACACACATATATATATATATATATATATATATATATATATATATATAACAGGTGTAATATTGGGAGAATCGTGACTTTCCTCATAAAGTCTCGGTTAGGATGGACTGGCCATGTCTTGAGAATGTCTGTTGACATAGTACCCAAGATTCTAATGTACACCCAGTTAGATCAGGGCTACAGGAATGTATGTCGCCCATGGCTAAGATACAAAGACAAGCTGAAGAGCAACGTCAGCTGTCAATCTAACACTGATTTCATCCCACAATCCTTACTCTTGCTCCATATGCAAATCACTAGCGGGTCTTAAGTGCCACTTAAGATTATCGCACAAAAATTTCATAACTGACTCAATTAAGTTGATCCTCATACGTCGAAACCGACGGTAAGAGTCACTGATATATATATATATATATATATATATATATATATATATATATATATATATATATATATATATATACAGAAGTGTGGCTATAAATCAGAGACAGATGCAAACTGTGTTGATGGCCGAAACCTACTTAACAAACGGAATAAACTTATGTTAGCTTGTAATCATAGGAAAAACTGTCCTAAAATATTTAGTTCTGGATAGATAATATATTCGAAAAGGTCGGGAACACTAGAATTAAGTAGAAGTTTAAATATCTGGGAAGCGTCTTGATAGAGGACGGTAAGTGCGACACTGAGATCAGTAGGCGTCTTGGGATGGCCAAGGACACATTTCAAAAGCTGGGGAGAGTACTGCGAGACAGGAGGATATCATTTGGTAACAAAGAAATCAATATTGAACTGTTACGTGACATCTGTCTTTCTTTACGGCAGCGTATGTTGGACAATTTCCTCAAAGATGAAGAAGAGACTCGAGGCGACAGAGATGTGATTCTACAGAAGGATGCTCAGGATATAATCGACCGAGCGTGTGAGAAGCCATGAGATCTTTTCTTGCAAATAGATTTGCAGACACGTACATAGAATCGATACTTCGTTTTTGGCCAGAAATGCCGTTCTTGTTTTTTTCTGTCACTTGCACACGGAGAAATCTTGAATCTTATTTTATTTTCGTGGAGATCAATGGTATTCTTTCAACAATTCTTAAAGGGATTACCAACAATTTGCCATAGGATATTCCATATATTTCTCTACATAAAAAAAAAAAAACATGCAAGGAAGCTTGGGCTAATTTGATTGATTGATACGTTTTTACGGATTACCAACCCTTTACTTACAACCAGAAAATATTTTTAGATTGCAAGATTTTTTTAGGTAATAGTTGTTTCGTAATACAAGTCTAACTATAGTGAATTTCCAAGCTTATCTTAGATGTGGCACAAGGCGGAAAGTAGGGGGCACTCAGTCGTAATTATTCTAGCGAGACAAGCTCACTAACCATTACACAGCCACGAGAAAATATTTTTCGATTGCAAGAACTTTTTTTTTTTTAAATAATGATTTCGTTATACAAGTCATACTAATTAACCTATAGGTGTTACAGAGCTTAAAATCACGCTGATTGAAAAGACATGCTAACAGCAGACCGAAGAATGGTCGTTCTTAAAATGTTTCTTGCAATCCGGAATTGAGTGGCGTAAAAAATGGGCATAGACACAAATTCCAGGACATATATGAGTTGGAATCGAGGCATGAAAATCAATTAAACTTAAACACGATGACTCCCTAAAACTGCTTCCTATAACAGAAGACTAATTAAACAAACCAGTGTGGGTGCCCCGTCCATTTGTGAAGATAAAAGAATTACATTGAATACTGTGTACTTATTAAGTTGTTCACAAAATAATTCTATAATTTTAAAATAAACCACTTAATTGTATTCTAATATATAATCATTCCAAAAAATATATTACTTTAATCGAATGGACATTTAACCGAATCGACATTTAGCTGAAAATATAGTTGCATACTTACATATATATCACACACTTTATCGTAATGCGCTACATATATTTATATTTATTTAATGTATTCATTTATAATTTTTCGTTTTTTAAAGGCTTTTTTAAAAAAAAAAAAACTATTCCGTATATATTATATTTTATTTCAAATATTAAATTAGATAAATAAATGTATTTACAATAGATATAACCTGCAATTAAGAAATTTTAGTTAAAGTTCTTAATATAATAGGTCTTTGAAATATAGGAGTGGATTTTGCAACTGTTCCAATGATTTGGTCCAACCCCTGTATCTACCACTTTTTCAATCATTTTGACAATCTTTTTAGACCAAATCAAAGATGCAGAAATTGCATTCAAAGATTTCTGGGCGCCAAAGGTTTACAGATTTGTCGTAAAAGCATAAATAATTTTTGTTACTCAATGGTAGGGTTCCTATTTCGACTGATTTGAACCCTTTTTAAGGATTAATGAACATTAATCAAGGAATAAAAATTGATTCTTCAATCGAACATTATTTGCCGAACAACCAAATATTAACTTGAATCACAAGTAATTAACGTTTTCGGAAATGAATCATAATAACGAATATATCATCATAATTACTAATCAATTAAGAATACATGTGGAGGACAATAACATACATTCGATTTCGCAGAGTAATGGCAGCATACACAGTGGATGAAAGGAAAAACTTTGTTCTGCATGACAACACAAAGCTGCATGTTGCAAAGCTGCATGTTGCAAAGCTGCATGTTGCAAAATAACTCAAGAAAAATTTGGGAACTGAGTGGTCTGCTCTACAGAACGCCCTTATTCAACTGTCCTTGAACTAACCGATAGTTCTAAAACGCTTACACGGGGAAAAATTACTCTAATGAAAACCAGGTTCAAGATCTCAATAAGTCATGGAAAATAATAATATGTAAACATATCATTGACTAAAATATAACTATACTTTTTGTTTAGAAGGAAATCGCTGAACTAAAATGGAAATGATTTATGAGTAGAGCTCATAATAGCATGTGATTAACAAAAGGCTATGAAATTACAAGTTGATATATAAAATCCGTAAAAGAAAAATATATTTTGACGAGTTAAATTTGGGAAAGAAATAAGAATGTGAGATTTTACTTATCTGACTTTCATATTGCAATTGATTCATAATTCCACGCGTGTAAAATATTTTGGAAGTCAGCCCAAGTTGGCACTCCTATGATCTGTTTTACCAATCTTCATTATTTTTCTGTTATTTTAATCAACTTCTTTTCTTCCTTCCCTTCTTTTCCGTTCTTTTCTTTCACTTTTTCCTTCATTTCTTCTCTCAGTGTTTTCTTCTTTTCTCTTCTTTACCATTTTCTTCTTCTTCTTCTTCTTCTTCTTCTTCTTCTTCTTCTAATTTTCTTCTTTTCTTTTTCATTTGAGTTCCGTTCTGCTCTTCTCTCTGTCCTTCCTTTCATTTCTACTTTTTACTTTCTCTATACAATTAGTATCGTTCTTCCTCCCTTTCCAAATATCTAACATTTCTTTCAGTAGACGTCTTGGCATACGGTGATCTCTAATGTTGACAGCATGATCCACACACTGTAGTTGTGACTTGCCCTCAGTTTCGTACCAGGATATCAGGAGAGCAAGGAAGATTTTCACGCAGCCACCAGGTGCCGATTTGCTCTTCACGGATATCAGTAGCTTCCTACGATATGTAAACAGGTGTTTGAAACAGCTGGGCCCTCGATGAGCATACGTGGGAAGACCGGATAAAAGGAAGGTATATAAGCACCAACAGGAGAGGGAAAGGCCAAAGAGTCTCCCTGAACCGCATAAAATCTACGTTAAGAGAAAAACCCCAAAGTCAAACAGATACATTATTTACATTATTTACATTATTCGGACTATTGTGCTCATCTTTGTCGCCATATTTATCACAACGTTTCGGCCGTTGTACGCTCCGGCTTTCTTCAGGTGGTTGGAATGTCCTCAAGGACACATGGCACAGTGGATAAAGGCGTTGGTTAGATCCAGTAACAGGACCCAAAGAGTGTGAGTTCAATACCCGGTTAAGGCAGTGGAGAACTTTCAGAGGGAAATTAACAGGAGATAACTGATAACTGACATCCATTAAACATGACACGTGGAACTAGAACAGTCTACCCCGGTGAGCGAAATAAAGGGTTCAGTTCGACATTCCTACCACCTGAAGAAGGCCGGAGCGTACAACGGCCGAAACGTTGTGATAAATATGGCGACAAAGATGAGGACAATAGTCCGAATATTGTAAACAGTGTACATGATACCTCATCTCAGAAATATAGACAGATATTATTTATCCGAATAATATAAATCGTGTACTAATTCTCTATTTTACAGTTTCTTTCTTACAGGCATTTCTATTTATAAATGTTCAGATGAACGCTCCATTCTTTAGTTTGATCAGTTCAGAATATTCCTGCAAGGACAGACCATGATGCATCCACATAGTTTCATCAGCCTACATTCCCCCTTATTCCCAATATAATAAGAATGTTCTAATTATGCCGATGTTTTCAAGAATCGATATTTTGCATTTGGATGCTTCCTTGATCACTGCAGACTTAAACCTATCCATATCAAAGGGTAATTCTTATCTTTATTCTAATAATATTAACCTCCTATCCGTTTTCCTGTCCTATATTACATCTCCTTCATCATAACCATTTTAAGAGTAATCCTCTAGTCTGATCGGCTCTCGAGCCATGTATTTGATGAACATATTATGCAATAAAAAATAAACAAGGACGAGTCAAAATATATTATCAGTGAAGAGGATAACAGATTCTTAACATAATCTATGCAGTGACGTCATATGACGTCATATCTGCCCCGACATTTGCCACGGGTGATCAGAACGAACTGTCTGATCTTTTTTCCAACGATTTCACACTTTTAGATAAAGATAAGAAGGGAAATATAAGATATTTACCTTGAGTGCTTGCCTAAGAACGAACTGGATGCTAAGAGTAGTTTTGTCTCCCTGGAGGAAGGAGAAAAGGGCTACGCATTCCAGTTTAGATTAATGCACTTGTAATATTTGATGAATATCTACTTCGTCTAGCTACCGTTTCTCTTTCTAAAAGTAAGCGTATTAAAACAAAGAATGAAATAACATTATCATTTCTAGTTACCTGGCTAGCTAACCATCTATGCCACTTAACACACACACACACACACACACACACACACACACACACACACACACACACATATATATATATATATATATATATATATATATATATTAAAAAGAAGAGAAGAGAGATGCCGCAAACGTTTTTGGTTGTAATGTGGATTTTTTTTTTTTTTAAATATTATGCTTTATTTTCCATAATGTGACTACACGTGTTTCTGATCTCGCAACCGTCTTCAGGTAAAAGCGGAGATTTCCACATATTATTAAAAATAATTAATTTTTTTCCTTTATGTTTTTCCATGTTAAATATTATCGATATGAGACATTCTCTGTTTTTGTGTTAGTAATCCGAATATATATATATATATATATATATATATATATATATATATATATATATTATGCATGTTTTCGTTAAAACGACAGACAAGGTACTACAGTTGAGCTTTTTATTTAATTTTTCTTGTGTTCTGACAAGAGCTTTCTTTTCTGGACAAAGAGTGTGTAAGAACTGTCCGAATGTTCTGTTTTTCCGAGCGCTTTCGGCTATACTTTTAGCCATTATCAAGGATGGTTCAATGATGGATATTCATTATCAAGTAGAGTGTGTGTTCTATGTATGTTCAGTGTGTGGTAGTGATGTTTTAGTTTCCGAATACAGTTAGCACATTATGGCTTTGTTCATAATTGATATTGTTAAGAGTTGGCTTTTTCTTTTTTATTATTAGAGCTTCCATTATTTTTAGTCTTTTTTTGCAAGTGGATGCAGTTAATATATTAGTGTTTTCTACTAGTATGTTCCTAATAGTGTCGGGTAAATCTGAGTGTGTGTTTAAATGTGTTCTGATGGAACTGTGATCAGATAGGTGTAATGTAAGACGTCTGGATAAACATGTGGTTGTGTAGCCGATGTAATTATTTATGAGTCCGGTTTGGTGAGGAACGCAGTTCCTTAAAGGGCATTTGAACTCATAGATAATGTTCGCTCTTTGTAATTTTGACTTCGTTGGTGTGTTGTTATTTTTGAGGATAAGGTTGGCCGTCTTAAATTTTTTATAATAGATAATAAGTTTGATTTTTTTATCCGGGTCAATAGGAGTAGTATATTTCTTTATAATATGTCTTAGAGCAGATTCATCTTGCTTGTAATTAATATGCATTTGGTTTTGTAATAAATGTGTATGTGATTTTTAGTTGTGTGTTCGCTATCATTATTACTTGCTTTGGGGAGGAATATTCTAATTTGTTGGTCTATAAGGTAGTTAGGGAAACCGTTGTTAATTAGTGTTTGTTTAACGTTGTTAAGTTCTTTGAGAAAGAGTAGTCGAGAGGATGAGTTCTGGTGGGCTCTATTTAGAAAGTTTTTATTACAGCTATTTTGTACCTAAGTGGACATTCCTTTTTGAAATTAAGGTGGCACGAGTTTTTGCTGGTGGGTTTTTTGTATAATGATGTAATGAAAGTGTTATTGTTATGTTCAACGAGGATATCTAAGAATGGTAGTTTGTTTTTTTGGCTAAGTTCATATGTAAAATTAAGGACGGAGTTTTTTCTCAAATGTGGTCTTAAGTGTCTCTATTTCTTTAATGTTATCAGCTAAAATGAATATATCATCTACGTAGCGAACATAGATTTTCGGTTTGTGGACCTGTGTAAATATGGTATTTTCTACGTAGGACATATAATAGTTAGAGAAGCATGGACCCAATGGATTTCCCATACTAACACCATTAGTTTGGGTATAAATATTGCCATTATGGTCATAGAAGGGGACTTTGGTTGTGCATGCGTGTAGTAATTTTTTAGGATAGGTGGTTTGATGGATGGCGGAGGGATGGAATTATTATTGTATATAGAGTTGAGGATAATATCGATAGTTTTATCAACAGGGACGTTTGTGAATAAGTTTTCAACGTCCAGTGACGCTATTATACCTTGATTTGTTCCATTTGTAGTTTTTAAAATTTGTAGGAATTCGTGAGTGGAGGTGATGCTGTAATTGGTAGGTAGGTATGGAGTGATGATATCGTTAAGGAATTTTGATAGCTCGTAGATAGGTGTTGGTATCTGGGAAATAATTGGTCGTAGCGGGTATCCTGGTTTATGTGTTTTTATGTTTCCATATAGGTATCCCGGTTGGTAATCTCCAACTATTTTTTGAATTTTCAGGGAATCGACTTCCGCGTTGTGAGCTGTTATTAGCTTGTTAACAGACCTTTTTAAATTCTCAGTGGGATTTCGTTTCAATTTGGTGAATTTAGATCGGTCATCAACGATAACTTTTAATTTTGCTGGTAATCAGCTTTGTTGACTATAACATATGTGTTAGATTTATCAGCGCGTCTGATGACAATGTCAGCGTTGTTTTTTAAATCTTTCGCAGCGTTTTTTAGTTTTGGTGTTAAAATACTACTATGGTTAGTGCCGGGGGATCGGTTCTTCAAACCCTCAGCTTTGAGTAAGTCTTTCAGGTCAGGGTGTACTGCTATGTCACCACGCGTGGAAAGTTGGGATAGTGATTGGTATAAAATTTCAATTTCGGTTGTCTTGGTGATAAGGTCAAACTTAGATTGGATGTGGCAGTTTGGACCTAAATTTAGAAATTCATTTTGGTCATCTGTTAATTTATGGTTGGATAAATTTAAATATTTGTCTTCACTGTTTTTAACGAAACATGCATAAAGGAAGGATTGCTGCCTAATTATACATATATATATATATATATATATATATATATATATATATATGTATCTGTTTGTCTCAGGCTCTTTATGTCTGTTCTAACTAGCTAGCATATTCTGTTCAGATCTATCTATCTATCTATCTATCTGTCGACCACGCTATCACAATCTGTTCCGATCTGTCTATCTCAGTCTCTTTACATCTGTCTATCTATATATCTAAGTCTCTTCATATATATATATATATATATATATATATATATATATATATATATATATATATAGCTATTACATTCTGTTCAGATCTGTCTAACTCGCTTACACAGTCTGTTCCATCTAAATATCTATCTTTTTATCTAAGTCTCTTCAAATATATATATATATATATATATATATAATGAAATGGACAATTAATTTCAGACATTTTTATGTTTATACATTCTTTTTTTAAAGCTACAAATATTTAAGTAAATGCTCTGTTTATAATAAACAGTATTAATTACATTTAACGGCCTTAATGTCCGAGAAATTGTCATAGAAAATATGCGTCCTCCGACAGGAATCGAACCTGTACCCTCTACGGAACCGTCATATAGCCTGATGTACCTTTAACCGATTGGACCACATAGGAGCGTTTCGATTTTACTGTCTTTAAACTACAATCTCCCATGATTCTCTCACGTACATTCATATCTGCTCGATGCGTATTCAAATATAGCTTAAAAACAGTAAATTCGACCTTGCTAACAGAACGCTCTTCTGTGGCGAAATCGGTAAAAGCACGTCAGGTTATTTGACGGTTCTGTATAGGATACAGGTTCGATTCCTGTCGGAGGACGCACATTTTCTATGACAAATTCTCGGACATTCAGGCTGGTGAAAATTACAATATGAGCTCTGGTAAAAATAGTTGCTGAAGGCATTAGTTTATTATATCCAGAAATTGATACACAGATGTCTCAAGGACACATGGCACAGTGGACAAAGGCGTGAGTTCGATCCAGTGACAGGTTAAGGCAGTGGAGAACTTGGAGTGGGGAATTAACAGGAGATAACTGATAACTGACATCCATTAAACATGGTGCGTGGAACTAGAACAGTCTACCCCAGTGAGCAAAATAAAGGGTTCAGTTCGACATTCCAACCACCTGAAGAAGGCCGGAGCGTACAACGGTGAAACGTTGTAAAAAATATGGCGACAAAGATGAAGACACTAGTCTGAATAATTTAAATAGTATATATATATATATATATATATATATATATATATATATATGTGAACGTTTATAAATTTTTCTAGTAACTAACAAAATTTTGTTTTTTTGTTTATAGATGCTTTGTTCGAATAAATTCATTTTATTTCTTGCCTTGATAATAACCGCAGTGGAAGAAAAGCGTCGTTAATACTCCATACAGTTTTTCATCTTGTTTTTTTTCCTTTATAGCTATCACAGTTTGATTAGATACCTCTATCTCCTTGTGTGGTTAACCATATTTAACGATGTTATTGGTCAGTTTCGATAAAAGCTCTCTTCAATTGTTCTGTGTCAAGACCAACATATAACATTCTACCAAACTCCATCCTTAATTTTTCATTGTAATCTAGCTTGATAACTCTGTTCAGTTTGATCTAATCTCGATAGCCTACTCGCTGGCTGATCGAGATGCGACTTTTCTACTTAAATCTGTAATTTTATTTGTTGTGGTCCCAGGTTTAAAAGCCAGGTTTTTCAATGCCGATTTCAATAAGGACATAAACTTTCTAATATATCAGTCACTGATATCAATATAACTTTTAAAATCTACTCTACTAATTATATTTATCTTTCTGTCTATCTTATCTATCTGTTCATCTTCCTCTTACTCACACACTCACGCAGGCGCATGCGCAGGATACAACAATAAAAATGCCTCATATTTTCATTAATAGACAGAAATAACGAAGTTACCAAATGTAACAAATTCTACTGAATCAATGACTAGGTCTGCTGTTAAGAAAGTAGGTCATTTGTGTTGTTTTTCGCGACAGAATATATCTTACACCATATTTACAGTGGAATCCCTGGCAACCGGACTAAGAAGACGTTGTGGATATAAGGAATTGGTTAAAAAGTCCGGATATGAAGGGTTATATTTAAATTAAATAAAAGAACTGAATCAGGTTTAAAATTTATTTTCAATGTTTTATAATAAACAAAATAAGATAAGGGTGAGTGAAATATAAAGGAATTAATTTTAAGGAAAAAGAAATAAATTATGTAATATTAATTAAAATTCATTAAATTAAGTATGTCATGTATGCAAAACAAATAATGTAACGAGGATTTTTTAATCACTACTGCATGATGATTCTTTCTCTTCTAATGCCATTCTCGACTTTTTTCCGCATTTCGTTTCTCCGTGTGTTATTGCAATCGTCATAGATGAATGCTGGCTTTCTTTCCATAAAACTGACAACCTTTTCAATAGCTTTTTCAGTTTTAGTCCAGGTTTCAATACACTCATGTTTTTATTTTTAATTTCCTACTTCATTGTGACAGTGTGAACGCTGGAGAATAATTTCTTTGGAAGATTTTATATCACACAATGTTTACTTTCCTATGTTGAACTCAGCCATTAGTTACAATGAACTTTCACCAGCGTCTAGTCTGTTTAAAATTTCCACTTTTTGCAATAACTCCAAAGTTGTTCTTTTCCTATTATTCCCCATCATATTTTGCACCAATACCAGCCATTAGGGTGAAATAAGCATAAGCAATTATCCAAAGTAAATGTCCTGAAAAACAGAAGTTTCAAATCAGTTGCATATCACCCAATAGTTCCAATATACACATCAAAATCATGTCCGGATATTCGGGATTCCGGATATGCGTCACTCCAGATATTCGGATTCCGGATATGAGGGATTTTGGGTATGAAGGATTCTACTGTATAGAGTTTCAAATAAAGCCAGGACGTAACAAACAATGTCAAACATACAGAAAGCAACTGCTTCTTGATAATGACTAAAACAGTCGAAATTACACAAAACCAGCAAAACAGCAATATGATTTTTATACTTTATATTAAAAGTGTGTTTCTTATATAGAGTATAAATATAATATCTCCATATAATATATCCCCATATATATATATATATATATATATATATATATATGTATCCCCATTCACTAGATTTAATTGACCCTGAAGAGCAATGTTTCTGTGAAACTTTGAAGTCGGACCAAAGATAAATCATTTGAACCCTTATTTATTGACTATTGTCGCTTTAATTCTTGATTTAGCGTTTGTTTTTGCCAAGAGTTCTGCTCAGCTCGAATTACGTAAAAGTCTAGTAATTTGCATATTTCGAACTAGGTAATATGAGTAAAATAATACTCGAAAGAATTAACTTAGAACGAAAAAAGAACTTAAGACAAAACCAGTGCAAAAACACAAAACACCTATAGACTAATCTAAAAAAAAAAACATAATTGCGAATTTATACAAGTAGATATAAAAGATTTCTATCCTTTCAATTGTTGTATGCTCCTGCTATTCTGGAGTGGACTTGGGAATGGGGTCGATTCCATAATAACGTTGTATATTCTCCCAAACGGGTGTTGAAATGTTTTGGGGGTCCAGTGATGAAAAACATCAATAAAAGAGATTGTAACTTAATACTTTATTAAACACGTCGGAGGGCATATTTTTAACTAGCCAGTGGGGACGAATTGTATATTTTTAACTAGCCAATGGGGTCACTCTTAATTAGTTAGTGGGGTTAGAACATGCTTCCCACTGAGGAGCAAAAAAAAACCCACGTCTAAATTGTATGACGTAAAACTTAATTCACTGAATCCCTTTCTACATCCAACATGTCCACGCTAGTTTTTGTCAATTAAAACGACTTCCTTTGTTTTACTGTATCTGACATCAAAGCTCAAAATTAGAAAGTCAGAAGAACTACAGTTCTCTAAATAGCAATTGTCTGATAGACTATTATTTAAAAATTAAACGAAGCCGTGTTTGATAAATCCATCTCCTTAGCTCAAAAATACATAAAAATAATCACAAATGAATTAAAAAATCAGCAAGCACTGCTCAAAATAACTACTGTACGACAACGAAGTATAATAGTTAAAGAAAAGGTGAACATTCGATGTTATCGAAAGAAGTTTTGATGGAACATTGACTCAGAAACAAATATGCATATATATATACTAGCTGAACTAAGCAATGTAATCGACAAAAATGATATAGACCTCTATAGTGAAAAGATTCATGTTATCTTAAGAAAGTGTATTAAACAGACAAAACCAGAAAGATAATCCTAAAAAAATAGAAAAATATAGGACTTGACGTCAATATAAAATAAAACCTTAAATAGATTTCCAAGACCTTAAACTCAACCTAAACAAAGTACATATACAACATACATCTTCCAAGCAACAGCCGAAAATAATAAGGTATACCCCACAATCAATTAAATGTAGGATATCCAACAAGTCTTCTAATGAAACCATCTTCAACGAAGCCAAAATTGATTATGAAACATCAGCTCCAAAAGAGAGTGGATTATCAGTAACACACAAATATATGCAGGACAATAAAAATGGCAAGAGCAGCATGATGCAATTCACCCTGCCAGAAATTTGGAAGCAATATGCTCTACTGCTTGGAATTCGCGCCGGAAGCATATTTCAGTGTGTTTGGATGTCTATCTGAAGAGAGTGGAGAGGTTTTGGAAAGAATTGGATGAGTCTAATGGTGATTAAGAAGGGACGACAGCTTGGAAAATCCACTGATAGGAAAAGAACTCTTGAATTTTTGGTGAGCTCCAGGCCATGATTGACAACGATCCCTCAAAGTCAATTAGGTCTATAGCCAGGGACCCAGAAGTTTCTGAATTTCTTATCAGGTAGGTAGTGCATGGAGACATTCTATATTTTTTCATACAAGATGAGGAAGGGCTAATTCTATCCCAAGCCCCGAATGATAACAGGAAAGACAGAGCTACACACCTTTTGAAGCCTCCCCTCCAATCGAACATGCTTTGCTTCTTCTCAGACGAGAGAAATTTCTGCCAGGATAAGCTGGTAAACACACAGTACAAACATTGGATTGCGGTGTCCCCAAAGGATGTAGCGTGTGTGATGAAAATCAAATATCTACTCAACATCATAGCGTTTGGTGTGATCAGTAGTGATGGCGATGTTATGCCTCCATTCATCTTCCCAGGAGCCTAAAACCACGGGGCCCTGAACGAGGCATGACATCATATGCTTTAACTCACTCTACAGAATGAAAAATCATAAAAACAGACGTAGGAACAACATTCATTAAACTGATCCATAAACACCACCCTCCATCATGTACTGTCCACGAGGTATTCAACATATGCACAGTAAAGCTCAGCTACAGTTGCACGGAGAGTATGATACAAATAATCAAAAAGCACATCAGGAAACTAAATAACAAATTAGCCACACAAACGAAACACAACTTTAACTGCAGAGCGAAGCATGACCTTCGCTGAAACGGCAAATGCCCATAGAGCAATATAATATAGCAAGCCACTGTAAAAACAGCAGACATCAAAACAAAAAGATGCATAGGACTAACTGAAAACGTATAAAACGGCTTTTACTATTTGTAAATGCTCGAACAGCACAACACGTTTCTAAACACAATATGTGTTTAGAAAACACATATGGTAAATTCAAAAACAAGAATACACAAAAACTCTTATGAAGGATAAGAATATACCGATTCCGTCACCTTCTAATTAAATGCTTGCATACTCTAATATAAGCGACCAATATTTTGCCTATTTCCGAATGAAGTTAATGTTTAAAGACTCAAATATAATAATGAAAGAGATTAATTTTTACATTAAATAACCCAACATATCGTAATTTCTACAGCTTAACTAAACCCAACTCAGTTATGAGTTAAACTTTACTATAGCTTAATGTACATATGGAAACGGAAAACAATTCTTTTAGGATTCGAGTCTAAGTGCTTTTTCGGAATCCGTATTGGGTCTTAGAACATTTCCCCTGTGTACATCTTTGAAGACTTACCAAAAAGCAAAACAAGCAGAATCCTCTTGCCATAAAAGTTTATATACGCCGACACATATCCACGGTTTCGCGTAAGCAATAATTTAGTTTAAAAATGGAATTTCGAGATTTTGTTTTGTCTAAATATCTACATTTTGACTTGTGGACATAAGAGATAAGTATCCATGAGTTTCGTTTTATTTTAAAGGTTTCTCAAATATTTTAAATCAAATGTCGTAACTTCGTATGTCAAAGATTTTTTTTTCAGTGATTGTTCTGTTCGATTTTTTAAAAATAACTGACCTCGTTTTTATTTGAAGTCACGTCCGCATTTTCGCTTCCTCATTATCAGTTGCGTAGACGCCTGATTTAGTGATTCGTTGGACTTGACTTTTTCATTTTTATTTCAACTTTCTTTTCTGGATTTACATTGATGACATTGATTAATCTAACCAGAATGATTGTGAGTTTTTTGTTTTGTTTTCTTTTGCTTGTCTTTACGCTTTTTCTTTTCTTTTTTTTTTTTATAATTTGTCTGTCTGTGTAATACTTTACTTGTTTCTTTGATTTTTTTCATAAGGCTCTCCTTCTATTCTTTCTCTCTTTCTTTCTTTTTATTGACCTTTTTTTTTGACTTTCAGTTTTATGTCTTTCTTTTAGGCCTCATTTCGTTACTCCTTTTCTTTTCATTCTAGAATTCTATTTCTTTTTCCTTTTTTTTTTCTATTCTTGTTTTTTCTTTCCTGTTGGTTCTTTCCTTCATTTGTGTGTTGGCCTTAGGGCATTCATGTTCTTTTGAGATCAGGATATTTTTTCCATTAGTAATAACCTGTTTGAATATACGAAACAGGGTAATTGGAAGATGTCTTCTTTCGATAGTTAGGACACCTTATGTGTCTGAATATACACTATTGTATTTGTGTGAATGTATCAAAATGTTGCAAAAGTTGGATTTTCATTGTTAAATGGGAGCAACTTGACACTGATGTTTTTTTTTTTTTCTGGTGCTGATTTATACTGTGTTCGAGATCGAAAACTTATATTTTTCGGATGCAAGTCAGACTTTCCTGAATGTTGAAGTTTTGTCCATAAATCAATGACCTAAAGATGGCGGATTAAAATTCGCACTTTCACCAAATTATAGTTTATGAATTTTGGAGGGAATAAGCGCCGGAAATGCGATAAAAAAAAATTCTCCAAATTTATTTGAATCTTTTCCCCAGTTCATCGAAGCGTCAAAAAGTGGTTCGGCGGAGTTCGTCATGGTTATTTTAACCTAAACGATCAAACAAGTTTCAGGTGACAATTTGATGTTGATGAAAACGCTCTACTTGCAATCGTGGAGAATAAACCGAAATTTTCGTCGGAAGAGATTGCTAAGAGTTTTAAAATCGATATATCTACCTTTCACCATTTGAAGTGACTTGTGTTCCTTTCCAAATTAGAAATGTGGCTGCCACATTCTTTGTCGGAACACAACAAGCTCGATTGTATTTCAGCGGGGACGTTGTTGCTGTTGCGCTTCGAAATGCAGCCGTTCTTGGACAGAATATTGCAGGTAATATTTTTTCCCAAAATTTTATTGCTGGTAATCTTTTTTTTTTTCCAAAAATATATTGCTGGTAATATTTATTTTCAAAAATGTAGGCTAGCAATAATTTTTTACAAAAATATATTACTGGTATTAAAATCTATTTATTCACTTTCATAGTGTTTTGACCCAAGTTTTTTTTGTGGGGGTTAACTATTTTCTCATGGCTGGGACCCTAACAGGTGCTACCAACCCGGGTCAGGGTGGACCTGGGAACACCAGCAATTAAGAGGTGGTTCCATACTCCTCAAAATTCACTGATCATAATCCTTGCTGTCGGATGTATTTTATCGTCTTACCCAGAACGCGGATGTAGTTTAATGTCTTCCCCAGGATGCTGGATGTAGTTTATCGTCTTCCCCAGGACAGTCAGAATCCTGTGATGACATTTTACTTGAATATTCAGTATGATTGTGGCACCATTTACGAGGCAGAGAAAGGAAAAGAAAGAAAAGAAGGCCGAAAGAAAGGCGAGACGAATCGTAGGTGATAAGCAGACACACACACGGCTAAGAGACAATGAAAATATTGATAAGTAACAAATGAAAAAGGGTGTCATTACAATGACAGGGAATTTCCGAGTAAAAAAGAAAGGGAAAGAAAGAAGGAATCAGATGTGTTTTGATAACGGCTGTGTCATCTAGGTGCGTAAACGAACGGCTGGACCACTGGCCAGGGAAAAATTCAAGTGAAAATGCTATTTCGATAAGTGACGAGAAACAGGCAACTAAAAAGGACTTTGGACAGATATGAAAAATTAAAAGCCACACAAGTGCCGCTGACCGAATTTTTTTCGACGAAACAACTTTGGCCTGCGATAATAAAATTATGTTATCAGAAATATGTACCGAAGGAAAATGAATGGGGGCCCAGAAGTGTTTTTTCTCTTCCTTGGAGGCGACAGACTGACTGAAAACTTTGGGGATATTTCTTTTTTGAAGCCGTGTTAAGAAGACCACCCATCTTGATAAATTAGCGATAAAATACCTGACAAACACCACGTGTAGAACAAGAGTTGTCATATTGTCCGTTTGTGGCTAGAGAAATGATAACGGCGAATAAAGCGGAAGAAAAGGGAAAGAGAAGAGATAAATTTTTTTTTTAGTTAAGCTAGATGTTTTTTTCTTTTCCCGAAACAAAGCCGCGGATTGTTCACGCCCGACTAAGACATCATTGGTCAAGTGATTGTGATCACGAAGAAGGCTGTCGACGCCTCATCCAGAGTGTATGAGAAGCTGCTACGAAGAAGTGGGGAGGGCAGTTCACGCCCCTCAGAAGTATGGTGAGAAAGTGGGAGTGAGGAAAGGTTCCCAAAAATGGAAAAGAGTGGAAAATCCCTAACCAGAAATAAAAGAGGTGGATATGTATTTAGAATTATCGAGGACCCCCCCCCGACGCCAACAGACCCACCCCGGTTTTGGTCGGCGTCAATAAAAGCGAGGCCCAAACAGGCAGAAATCAGTGAGTTCAGTTCAGTTCGGGCTCCAGCAGTTCCAGTGAGTTCAGCTGACCAAGATTCACGCAAATTCCGGACTCCTCTTCAACCCAAGAACAATTATTTTGAAGAGCGACTTAGAACCAGACCACCGAAATAAGTTTTTTCGACTTTCGTCCAAAGACACACCGAAACGCCAATTTCTTAGAGAGCAAACAACTTGAAGCGTTAAAACTCGCCTAACGGAAAACGACGTGTCACAATCCATAGAACGGGTCGGGAGAAAGATGCAGTCCTATGTATCGAACAACTAGACATAAAGTTTGTTACCTTTTTCTTTGATACTTTGAACTTTTTGAGTTTTCATTTTATTTTCTTTTTATGCATATTTGTGTAGTATCACCCCGTTGAACTCAGTTTGCATTACGGCCCCAACCACTGTTTGATCTCGTCTGCCTAAGATCAATTCACAACGTGGGTAGGCAGACTGGATATCAATGCAGTTACCTTGGTAACCAGGCGTTGGAAGCGAGTTGGGAACGACGAGGCTGATATCAAATTCAACCAGATTCCCACCCGAATCACCAAAAGGTTAGAACGTCACATTTGGGTGCCGCGACCAATACCAAGCCAGTTGGTCGTCACAGGACGAGACAACACGACTGACGCGACAGGCGGACGTCACGTTTGGAGCAGCGACACCCGAACGGAGCAGCGAGGAGCGAACAGCTGGCACCGCGGCGAGGACGTCACAATTGGTGCTGTTTGGGGACGTCACAACTGGTGCCGTGGTAGATCAGGATAGAACGTCACAGTCGGCGCTGCGACCGGGGGACGACATCACATGATGCATTATTCATTTCTAATTTTTAAATATAATTTAATTCATCTGAAGGCTTGTGAAGACACGTAAATCTGACGTCATGTGGGTTCTATGAATTAAATTTAGAAATAATTATCAAAAAGATGTAATTAATATATCATGATATCATTAACATTGGAATTGATATATCTGGGCATATACAGGGTGTTGTTATATTCTGGACACACAGGGAATCTCTGTCTATATTTCTAATATAAGATATTGTAACTATTTACACTATTTACATTATTCGGACCGCTGTCCTTATCTTTATTGTCCTATTCACGACGTTTCAACCGTTGTACGCCTCGGCCTTCTTCAGGATCTCTCTATATTTCTGACATAAAGTATTTTAAATACTTACACTATTTACATTTTTCAGACTGTTGTCCTTATCTTTATTGGCATATTCACGACGTTTCGACCGTTCTACGCCCCGGCCTTCTTCAGGATCTCTTTATATTTCTGATATAAGATATTGTAACTATTTACACTATTTACATTGTTCGGACTGCTGTCCTTATCTTTATTGTCCTATTCACGACGTTTCAACCGCTGTACTCCCCGACATTCTTCAGGATCTCTCTATATTTCTGAGATAAGTTATTGTAACTATTTACACTATTTACATTGTTCGGACTGCTGTCCTCATACTTTTTGTCATATTCACGACGTTTTGGCCGTTGTACGCTTCGATTTCAACGTATATCACTCAAAGAAAGCCGGAACGTACAACATCGGAAACGTCGTGAATATGACAATAAAAATGAAGACAACAGTCTGAACAACCTAAATAGTGTAAATAGGAAATCTCATTAACTATATTTTTTACCTCCTCAGATTAAACATAAAATTCTTTTTTCTAGGGTCTGCTAAAGGAGAAGGTGCACTCAATGAAAATCACAAATGCAACACACTTGATTGAATGCATAAAGAGTTAATGTGTTAAAAATGGCGGTAATGTGGAGCGATTGCATCAAGTTCACGTGAATCTTGCAACACATTTGATTGAATGCATAAGTGAATGTGTTTAAATTGACGGCAATGTGGAGTGATTGCTTTGAGCACATCAACTTTTGCATCACAAATAATGGGAATCATTTTGAAGATGAAATCTCAAGAAATGAAATTTTCAACAACATTATATTGAATTGGAATATTAATAAATAAGTTAATATTCCAATTCAATAAAATATTATTGAAAATTTAATTTCTTGAAAATATACATTTTTTACCTACGTGACAAGACTTTAGGCACAACGTGTACATTGTTTCAATTGTTCTATATTTATAGGTGGGGGAGTGATTAGTATCAGGTATCAAACGTTTGTAGATATAAACAGTGTGAATATAAAAGACAAAACTACATGATAATTATTAGTTGGAGGATCATTTAAAGTGTGAAAAGGATAGTCACTGTGCAGTGCTGACTACTATGTCCAAACCGATATATGAAATGAAGCCAAGCATGTTATCCAACATTATGATAACATACGCAACAAATACGAAATATTTATAAATTGGACATGTTTCGCTTTTATTTAAGTTTCATCAGGAACGTTTTGGAATGGAGTTACGGAAAGCACATTTCTAAAAACTTTATGTTTTCTTACTTTGAATTATGTAATTGTTTTTCGATCATATAGTTTTCACGTATTTTTGTCTTGCTGTGTTACTGTCTATATATATATATATATACGTCTGAATTTTAGCGGGTATTTTTGTGAGATTTTGAGGTATATGTGTATGTAGTGGCGGACAGGCTAGGGTGAGAGACTGCCGGATGGCAAGTGGGGCCCCCTATATCAAACAAAAATGTCATAAATAAACAAACACTGACAACTGTTTTAGTAATAAAAAAGAAAGAATCAGAACTTAAAATGTCATCTGCACATTCATCAGTTACGCAAGTCCAATGTAGTGATGGCATTTTCAAAGCTAAAGATCATAAAGACAAGGTTAAAAAAAATCGTTGCCTGAGGAGAATTGAAATTGTTAGATGAATTGGACGAAGGAGATATTATTGGCAGAATCAAACAATCGTCTAGTGAGTACAAATGATTGTTCTTATTATAGTGGACTGAGTACAATGCTCTATTGTGCTTTTGAACTGTTAATGTGTAAATTGAACTATCTGTTAGTGTGTAAATTCTGCGGTAAACTATTTAAACGTGATTATGCCAATTATACAGAATTAATGTAGAATAAATAAAGAATTAAATTATAACATTCTGCATTTACATTGCCAGGAATGTGTACAATACTTGTACACTATAATTACTGAGAAATACACATTTTTACACAATGTTTAATTGTAACTTTTTCCCATATGTATTTGTTTCAAATTTTATTTATTCGTTGTAGTTTTGTGTATGGCACCTTTGTAGCCTGGTAACCAATTTTTTCACCCTCTGTTAACGACTGCCTTGATGTGTTTTGGTTTAATTCTATTATTAATATTAGTATTGTTATTATTATTAGTAATATTGTTATATTGCCATATATATTACTTTTGAGTAAGGGGATATTTGATGCGTTGGAGAAATGTGTTTTTTGATCATGTGATGAGTATACGGTATCATGAAAATGAATGTGTGAAAACTAGGTGTAAATTTTGTATATATATATATATATGTGTGTGTGTGTGTGTATTTAGGTAGCAATGCTTCTTTCATGCACATTTCATTGAATACGACAGAAAAGGTGCATTGATTTAGTTTTATGCAATTTCTCATGCGATCTAATAATTTGCATCTTTTCAGATGATAAATTATATAAAAACTGTCCGAATGTTCTTTTTGTCCGAGCGCTTTCGGCTA